TACAGAAGGAACCAGGCAAGTCCTCCCACAACTTAATGATTATTTGCTTGTGGTGATGTGGAAGTAGGACTTTCCACTACTGGCACCTGTTTTGTGAAATGCACTACCTATCTGGCATTCATTCAGCATTTGAAGATGCACCTGTTTCACACAGCCATTCCATTGATCACTCAGCCCAAGTCTCCTGTTTCAGTCATTGGGTTTTAGTGGCCTTGTTTCCCTGCATATGCTAACTATGACCAATGGTTTGATGGGGTCGTTTTAGGGTGTATTTTGATAATGCTTTGTAGACTGTATTTTGTAAAATGTTTAGAAGCTTATTTTGGCATTTAGCAAAACGATGGTGATGGTGATGAAAGGTTTGCCCTTTCTTAAAAAAAAGAGGAGAGAGATAGCTTAAATACAAAGTAAGGTAAAAGGTAAAGGAGCCCTGGATGGTTAAGTCCAGTCAAAGGCGACTATGGGGTTGCGGTGCTCATCTCGCTTCAGGCCAAGGGAGCCGGTGTTTGTCCACAGACAGCTTTCCAGGTCATGTGGCTAGCATGACTAAACTGCTTCTGGCACAACGGGACACCATGATGGAAACCAGAGCACACTGAAACACCATTTATCTTTCCGCCACAGCGGTACCTATTTATCTAATTGTGCTGGTGTGCTTTTGAACTGCTAGGTTGGCAGGAGCTGGGAACAGAGCAACAGGAGCTCACACTGTTGTGGGGATTTGAACCGCCGACCTTCTGATCAGGAAGCCCAAGAGGCTCAGAAGTTTAGACCACAGCACCACCTGCATCCCTAAAAAAGTATAACAGTAACAGTTAACCTGTGGGATGCCTCTGGCACCAACCTGGAGCTCCCCTGACCTCACCATTGCTTTTCCCCACCCCATCCTGGGTACCACAATGCCACTGGGAAGATAGTGATGTGCCCTCTAGGCTCTCAGGCTGCTATTGCTGACCTCTGGGCTGTGTTAAGGATGAACATACAAACCTCCCATGAGCTCCTAGTTTTACCCAAATCATGCTTTCCCTTGCATTGGATCAAAAACCAAAACGAAATGCCAGAAAGTACAAACAGTGACAATTGCCCTGTTAATGGTGGTCATTTGCTGTCTTATGAATGCCCACCATTACCAGTGCAATTGCGGCTATTTCTACTTCTCTGCATTTAATTAACCTGATGGCAATACTCAGAAACCTCAACACACCAAAAAGGAAACCATATTCAACTATACCTGAAGCTAGGGAATGCCGATGGAAATGGAAATTGCTGGTGTCCACTTATTTGTGCCATGTCTGAGGCAGAAAGTCTTTGTTTCTTTCAGTCGGCTAACGATATGCAATTGATTACATTTCCCTCTTCCCATTTGGATTGTGTTTCCTTTTGTGTTGAATTGAATGGGGTAGAATAAGTTAATGACAATGTAATTGATGTAATTAATTGCATCAGTTGAAATTATGATATAGTTTTGGGTGGAAGGAGAGATCCAGTGGAATCGAAACACTTTTGCATGTAGGGTGAAACAGAAAGCAATCCCTTCTTCACCCCCACCTGAGTTTACTAGCCCAAAAAAGCTCCACTGTTTTTGCTGCATGAGACTAACAGGGCTACCCCTCTGGAAATGGCAATGGGGAACAAGTTCTCCTGTAAAATGGATGAGGATCAGCACTGGGAGCGCAATGATATTACTTTGGATTTAACACAGCCTGTCTATGTGATTTAGTGGGTAGAAGCTATGGATGGAAGACATGATGGTAGCAGAAATGAATAAGTCCAAGGGGAGACATTTCATAATAAAAGTGGAAAAATTTGTGTGTACAGAGCAGGAATTCCCTTTGCAATCCGGTCCTTTCGGAAGTGAAATATTTTTAATCGTTCCTTCCAATCATTCATTCCTAATAAAAAATCATATTTTAACAGAATTATTCAATTCTCCTTTTTTAAACAAAACAAAACAAACCCAAATTATTCCACCCTCTGTAAATGTTAAAAACTGGGAGCTGTATAATGAGGCATGTACTTGTGTTGCTCTCACAAATCCTGCCACTGGATATGAGATGGATTTGCAGAGGTTAGTGAGGTCCATAGATATTTCTGTTACCCGTGCAGTTAAAAATAGAAAGGGGGGAGACTTGAAAAATAAATGTTCATATGCTGGTTTTCTTCCTCTTGTCGTTACTTTATTTATCCAGAGAGCCAGGTGCAATGGGGCTTTCTAGAGAGCTGTAAATGTCACCCTCTCAACTAGGGTTTGGTGACATTTGAATATTAGTTATGGTGTGCATCAAGATTTTATTTTTATTTTTAGAGAGGGGAGGAAGAGAGAGAAAACACCCCATGAGGAATCCACAAGGTTGACAAGAGGAAAGTAGACCATTTTTAAAACGGCTTCTATAGAAGGCTGTTTGCATTGGTTCAGTTCAGTCAAGACAATCAATTTTGCTTGCTTAAAGGAATTAAGAAGCAAGATGGGGCACCAATCAGCATATTGGAGCAGAGATTTATTCCTTGATTGGGGGCGAAGAGAATTCTCTTTTTTATTTGTGAAATAACTAGGAACTTCCCTTTTAACGGGTTTTAGAAAGGATGGTGCTAAATAATGGGCCCTGCTTTAAATTTTGACAATGAAGGTACCTCACAAATTAAGAAACTGCCTCTCATAAAGAAATCAAACTTCTTGGGTGAATCTTCTTTCAGGGGACTAGGACATATCACAGACTAATGCTAATTAACAGTGCTCCAGCTGTTTTATAGTAAATTAGACCATCAGTCCACCTAGCTCAAGGCTGGGGTACTTGTGGTCTTCCATATGTTGATGGACTCCAGTTCCCAGCATCTCTGACCATTAGCCATGTTGGCTGGTGCTGCTGGAAGCTGGAGTCCAGTGATATCAGCTGATTGGCACTGACTAGGGAGCTCCTAATGGGAATATCCTAGGGAACCCCTCTGGGCTCACTATCAGTGCTGATCAGTGAGCCCACCGAGCTCCCAGCTGTTCCTATGGAGCCCCACAACCTTACCTACAACAGTGGACAATTTATGGGTTTTCCCACCTGATGGATGCCTCTCCTTCTTGCCTGATGCCCTGTCCCCTGACTGCCTCGGATTGCTCTAGGCCAGGGGTTGGCAACCTTTGGCCCATGGGCCACAAGCGGCCCACAGGGGTTGTTTAAATGGCCCACAAGCCACCCCCGAACTGAGCCGCTCACTCAGCAAGTCCCCGCATGCTGCACTAAACCGGCGCAGCGCAGAGCGGGAACTCACTTCTGCGGCACCGGAAATCGCATCTGCGCAGGCGCGATCTGGCCCGCGGAGTGATCTCCATGGGAGTGAACCGGCCCAGGCGAGGAAAACCTTGCTGATTCCTGCTCTAGGCTGCCAAAGTGGACCTACGGTGATCCGGGTATGTCTCAGCCCAATCTGACTAATGCCTGGATCTCTGCATTCCCTTCAGGGAGGTCTTGGTGGGAGGTGGAGATTAAGATGGTGGAGAAAGCAATGTGAGCTATAGGTGTAAAAGATTCTGCCAGGAGAAAGGGTCCATTCAGACTTAATCCTAATGAGTGAGGATGGGCTCTGAAGAAGCAGTTTGACGTGTCCTCACCTTTTCAACTTGTGGCTTTGAGTTGCCCTGAGCCTGTCTCTGTGACCATGAGGCAAACGCCCAAGAATATCCACATGGCCCTAGATTACTAAGGAGGTCTGGCAGATTTTATTGATGCTTATATCAACAAATGCATCTTCACTTTCCTTTCAGGATCATTCTTGGGGAAGAAAATCTGCCCCTTCTTCCATTTGGGGCTGGGAGTCAATTGAAAGTGTTGAATTTTGTGTGTAAGAGAGAAAGTAGGGGAAGCCCCACCAAGCCCATCACTCTAAGAGGAGATGGCATTCTAGAACTTTCTCTGTGGTTGCCAGAGAAAGGGGCTAGATAGCCTCAAATGGCATTCAGGCAGGACTTCCAGTTCTGAGCTGCAGGTTTTAGCATCCCCCACTGCCCCCCAAACAATTGTGGGGTTTGAGGATTCGTTTGGTGGTTCTACTTGGAAATAAATACAATATATTAAATATCTTAAGGGCTATCACTTGAAAGATGGAGCAAGCTTGTTTTCTGCTGCTCTGGAGCTGAGGATCTGCACCAATGGGTTCAAGTTACAAGAAAGGAGATTCTAACCAAACATTAGGAAGAACTTTCTGACAGTAAAAGCTGTTTGAGAGTGCAACGGACTCTCACAGGAAGTAGTTGACTCTCCTTCATTAGCTATGATTCCTGCATTGCAGGGGGTTGGACTAGATGACCCCCAGGATCCCTTCCAACTCTGTGATTCTTTGATTGTATGAATAGACCTGATTTGGTTTGAGCTAATCTGGTGCACAGTCATAACAAAAATTGGATGCAATCCCCACTGAGTATAGTGGGATTTACCATACTTATCAGTAAACATGCCTAGGATTTTCCTTTAAAACTATTAACTGAGCAAGTCTGTACATGTCTAGCCAGAAGTCAATACTTCAGTGCGGTTTACTTGCTGATGAGTCTGTGTATAGGATTGCAACCTGAATCTAAGAAGGTGTCATTACCATGGAAGGAAATATTGTGCCAAGAGACCTTGCAGAATGGATGAATCGGTAATAAATAAAAGAATAATAATAATCACATCCTGCTATGTTTCTGGAAATAAAAACTGTTAGGGGGATAAAATATGAAGCTAAAATATGCACAAGGAACACCAGTTTTGACAGGAGACTTCTTTGCAAACAATACCCTGTGTTTGCAAATATCAGCCATACTTCTGGAATAAAGTGTGATTTCTTTTTGAAATAAAATAAGCATAATTAATTTATGTATCAGCGGATGTGCAATTAACAACTGACTGATCGTTGGAAGTGTTTCTAGAAGAACTAAGGCAGAACTGCTGCTCTGCACTTACTTAAATTGCAATGCCACTCAACACCCCCGCTACAACTTCAGGGAATCACAGCAGGCATAGTGGAGGGCAACAGAATAGCTCAGTTGGTAGAGCATGAATCTCTTAAACTCAGGGTTGTGGGTTTGAGCACCAAGTTAGGCAAAAGGTTCCTGCATTGCAGAGGGTTGGACTAGATGACCCTCGTGGTGCTTCCAACTGATTCAGTGATCAGCACGTCCCCTTTTAAGGATACATCTATACTCTCTGTGCTGACATATCTACCTCAAACGGACCATCTTCAAAAAAGTCAAACTGCCAATCTTAGAAGCATGTTCAGGATTAGTGGGTGCTTTGAGACTCTCTTCCTAGAGAGAGATACCTGTCACTCCTTGCTTTTAGGGGAGCAAAGTTGGTTCATTTTCATTTTCATGCGGGTGGCGAAGGGACGCGGGGTGGCACTGTGGGTTAAACCACAGAGCCTAGGACTTGCTGATCAGAAGGTCAGTGGTTTGAATCCCCATGACAGGGTGAGCTCCCGTTGCTCGGTCCCTGCTCCTGCCAACCTAGCAGTTCAAAAGCACGTCAAAGTGCAAGTAGATAAATAGGTACCGCTGCAGCGGGAAGGTAAACTGTGTTTACGTGCGCTGCTCTGGTTCACCAGAAGCGGCTTAGTCATGCTGGCCACATGACCTGGAAGCTGTACGCTGGCTCCCTTGGCCAATAAAGCGAGATGAGGGCCGCAACCCTAGACTCGGCCATGACTGGACCTAATGGTCAGGGGTCCCTTTCCCTTTACCTTTTTACCTAATTCACACTTTCCAAAACAGTGCACAGATCAAAATGTTGCTCTCCTTCAGAATTTGCACTCCTTTGGATTTTGCGATGCAGTTCTCCAAACAAGCAACATGCACAGAAATGCATATATAACAGGAAATTGTGCATAAACTCACAGGTGTTAGTGAAAATAGCATACAACAGTGGCTTATATTAGAGTAAATTGCTCTGCAAGAAGGTGGGTGGGTGGGTGTGGGTGGAGAGAAAAAGAAAGAAAGAGAGAGAGTGTCCAGTAAATGCTGGTGATTTTTTGTGAGAAGATTTTTTTAAAAAATGCAAATGGATGTGCCAATGTGAACTGAAATTAAGACTGCAAAAAATGAGAAACGAACACAGTTGTTTAATATTGCATTGTTCTGGTGGACTGTAGTATTGGCCTAACAACCTAAATCTGGCACAAACTGGAAACTTGCTTTCTCTTCCATTGTTTGCCTAATTTGATGTTGTTGTTTGATGTCATTTCCATTTTTAAAAATTTCATATTTGATGTTAATGCCATTAGCTGCATTCCCTTCCTTGCAGTCCTCCCACCCAGTACTGCCCCAAAAGTGGTAAAATGTCCCATTTCTTCCAAGGGGTTCTAAGTTCAACTACCTTAGTCTAGCTCCAGATAGATATGGTTATTAGATAAAGATAGAAGCTCTTTTCAAGCATTATATATTTGGGACATTGCCGCAGGAGGGAGAGCAACAGGAACAAGAGCACAAACTCCTCACCTTCATCCTTGTTTTTGTCGTCTTCCAACATCTTGTTGCCATGGATGCTCTTGGAGAGGGAAACTGGGATTGAGGGGGCAGAACTTGTGTGCTTCCGCAAGCTGCCCGCCCTCGTGTACTCACCTGTGTAAGGCTTGAAGAGGGCTGCAGATATAAATATGGATCAGGAACTAACAGCCCAATCCTATACATGTCTCGAAGTAAGTCCCATTCAGTGGGGAGTAGGGTTTAATCCAGCACTTGTGTGAGTGCAACAACTTCTATTCATACCAGTGTCTAGAGGCAGTTGGAGGACAGATGGTGGCTAACAGCTCGAGGATGAATCCTGACAAGACAGAAGTACTGTTTTGGGGGGACAGGGGTGGGGGGGACTCCCTGGTCCTGAATGGGGTAACTGTGCCCCTGAAGGACCAGGTGCACAGCCTGGGAGTCATTTTGGACTCACAGCTGTCCATGGAGGCGCAGGTCAATTCTGTGTCCAGGGCAGCTGTTTACCAGCTCCGTCTGATATGCAGGCTGAGACCCTACCTGCCCGTGGACTGTCTTGCCAGAGTGGTGCATGCTCTAGTTATCTCCCACTTGGAGTGCTGCAATGTGCTCCACATGGGGCTAGCTACCTTTGAAAGTGACCTGGAAACTACAATTAATCCAGAATGTGGCAGCTAGGCTGGTGACTGGGAGTGGCCATCGAGACCATATAACACCGGTCCTGAAAGACCTACATTGGCTCCCAGTACATTTCCAAGCACAATTCAAAGTGTTGGTGCTGACCTTTAAAGCACTAAACGGCCTCTGCCCAGTATACCTGAAGGAGCGTCTCCACCCCCATCGTTCAGCCCAGACACTGAGATCCAGCACTGAGGGCCTTCTGGTGGTTATAGGGAAGCAGGCAGAGGGCCTTCTCAGTAGTGGTGCCCACCTTGTGAAACGCCTTCCAATCGGATGTCAAGGAAATAAACAACTATTTGACTTTTAGAAGACATCTGAAGGCAGTCCTGTTTCAGAAGTTTTTAATGTTTGATGTTTTATTGTGTTTTTAATATTCTGTTGGAAGCCGCCCAGAGTGGCTGGGGAGGCCCAGCCAGATAGGCGGGGTATAAGTAATAAATTATTATTATTATTATTATTATTATTATTATTATTATGGCACTTCGCCCCTGTACACCCCATGAAACTCCCCCCGAAATAAATGTTCCAGGGGGCTGTGGGTGTGTGGAGCACATGGGAGATGAAGTTACATTCCATGAATGGAAGCCATTGCATGAGCAGATTGTTCTGCTTGCACAGCGGGTGGTTTTTTGGCTGCAACCCATAGGCCCGGGTAAGTGGGTGTAAGACTGCAGCCTAAGGTAAGGATGGATGCCAGCACTGAAAGGTCATTCCAGCAAAGAAGCCTTATTCCAAGCAATGCATCGTTTGAAGGGAAAAGCAGCAGTTTCCTTTCTTATTACATACCCTATAACGTAAATGCCAACAATCGTTCTGCTCTGGAATCTTTTTTTTTGAAAAACCCAGAGTCTTTCTGTTCCCTTGAACAATGTGCAATGTGTCAAAGGCAAATACTAGAAGGGACACTTTATTGCAATTGCTGTGGTTCAGTGTTCCAGTGAAATTTCAGGTGTAGCTCATGTTGAAGAGAAAAGAGTGTTTCAAACAAAGGATAGAGGAGGTCAGGCAAGAGAGAAGCCACCGAGATCATTATTTTTGTCCATTAGTTTGGGTAATGGACTGAACTAACAAACCTTGGTGGCCTCTTTCAGAGCTATTATCAAAGGGACCCCATTGTAAAAAGGAGAGGAGGTCAATCAGTAATGACATATTATTGGCTGAATGAAGAGGCAGGAGATGGTTGTAAAGAGACAAAGTGGAGGAAATGTAAAAAAGAAGATTGTTGGAGATAGAACTGGGAGCCCACCAATATACACACAACATGATGCACCATCAGGGCTACAGATTGGAGCATCTCCCTGGTTCTCAGGCACCCATGACCCACTCATCTATTGATATCTGACAAGAACATGGGAACTAATATGTAGTAACAAGAGTACAGCCATTGACTTCTCAAGATGTGTGAGGAATTCATGTATAGAGTTGGTCCTTGATATTCAAACATTCTTCATTTGTGCTTTGGGGACTGTTCAGAAATGTCTGCTGACCTAAGATAGTCTTGTTCCTGGGTACCTGAGGGTAAACTAAGAGCTGAAACAAAGAAACGAAGGAAAAGTGAGAAGTGCAAATTCAAAAGCTCTAAGGTTACTTTTTTATTATTAAATGCTGCACTAATGTCAATATAAATGCAAACAAAGAGAGAACAGCTGGACTGAGGCTTCTGAGAAAGAATCCATTATTTGCCTTAAAGTCTTCAGAATTGTATTAATCCAGTGACTGGCAACAGATGCTTTTCTTCCACTCCTTGTTCATTTTAAATGATTTAACAGCTCTGGAAGTATTCATGAATTCAGGTTTCCACAGTCCCCTAATCATGTTGTCAGCTTAAAATTCACATTTAATTAACCTCTTCACCGAAGGCATAAATCAATACTAAAACTCCCAATGCTTGCCATACTGATAGTGATTTTCATTTGGAGAGGAAGTGACTTGAAAATTAGGCATCAGGATACCTGGACGAAAGTAGAAAGTCAGTTGTGTAAAGTGAAGCACGGCTACCAGATAAATGTCTTCCTGAATGGCCTTGGAAAAGGATGAGAAATCTCTTCACTTAGGATTCCAGTGATGAGTGCTCAGAGCAGCATGGAAACTGAAAGTCGTTTAGTCATGTCCAACTCTTCGTGACCCCATGGACCAGAGAACGCCAGGCACTCCTGTCATCCACTGCCTCCCGCAGTTTGGTCAAATTCATGCTGGTAGCTTCAAGAACACTGTCCAACAATCTCGTCCTCTGTCATCCCCCTTCTCCTTGTGCCCTCCATCTTCCCCAACATCAGGGTCTTTTCCAGGGAGTCTTCTCTTCTCATGAGGTGGCCAAAGTATTGGAGCCTCAGCTTCACGATCTGTCCTTCCAGTGAGCACTCAGGGCTGATTTCCTTAAGAATGGAGAGGTTTGATCTTCTTGGAGTCCATGGGACTCTCAAGAGTCTCCTCCAGCACCAGAATTCAAAAGCATCAATTCTTCGGTGATCAGCCTTCTTTATGGTCCAGCTCTCACTTCCATACATTACTACTGGGAAAACCAGTCTGAAATGGTACAGGAGAACAATCCTGAAACCATTTTGACTCTCCCCAATTGACTTCAAATGTTTCTCTGCAAGGAGGAAGGAAATGGGAAAGCCTCTCCATTGTCTTTTGCTTAACTGTCTTTAGGGCATCTTTGTGTTTGAATAGGGTGAGCCTGTGACCTGGATTCAGGAATTAAAGTATTTACCATCCCAAAAGAATGGCCAGGCTGCCCAAGTAAGCAATCACTGGCCGTTGTCAGGTATCCAGGCAGACAGGATTTCTGCTGTAGACCGCCTCCTTCTGTGATGTGTGTGTGATGTTTTTGGGGGTGTTCTTGAGCTACAGGGTGGGCAATTTCAAAAGTCTTGCACACCATGGTTCCGCCTCCCTCCTGTATGTGGTGAGTGAGGACCCTGTTGCAAGAGTTCAATAAAG